GACTCATGGACTCTCACTAGGCTAACATCAAGGTGTAGGTCAGGGTTACAGTCTCATCTGGAGAAGAATCTGCTTCCAATTTCACTCCTGTGGTCTTTGGCAGGATTCAGTTCATCATGGGTTGTGGGACTGAGGGCCTCATTTTCTCACTGGCTGTTGGCCACATGGACCTTTCCATAAAGAAGCTCAGGTCATGGCAGCTGGTTTCCGTCAGAGCAAGCAAATGGGAGAGCAAGAGGCAGTGAACAGGATAGAAGTAGAGTCACTCCTAATCAGATTTTAGAAGTGATTTTTTATTTTATTCTTTTCGTTAGAAAGAAGTCAGGGGGCGCCTGGGTGGCTCAGTCGGTTAAGCGGCCGACTTCGGCTCAGGTCACGATCTCGCGGTCCGTGAGTTCGAGCCCTGCATCGGGCCCCTGTGCTGACAGCTCAGAGCCCGGAGCCTGTTTCAGATTCTGTGTCTCCCTCTCTCTCTGACCCTCCCCCGTTCATGCTCTGTCTCTCTCTGTCTCAAAAATAAATAAACGTTAAAAAAAATTTTTTTAAAAAAAGAAAGAAGTCAGTAGGCTCAGTTAACACTCAAGAGGAGAGGACTATAAAAGGATATGAATGTCATAGTGGTGATCACTAAAAGTCATCTTTGAAGCTATCTACCTGGCCCTTTCAAATGGATCAAAGGCCTTCTGAGCATATTAAGTATATGCTGTGCACACCCCCTCTTTTAAAAGAGAACTTTTAAGAATTATTTTTCCTGTAGCATCTTCACAGGAAAGATTTGTGAATATAGCATTTGTCTAATGGAGTGAATCAAAGATCTATAGAGAGAAAACTCACAAAATTTTTAAAGGAAACATATCAGCTTGGAATAAAGAGACAGAGACAGACAAATTGAAAAAAAACTCAAGTCTACCACCAAACAGTTGCAGGCAAGCTAAGAAGTCTGCTCAGTTGCAAATACCAGCCATATTTTATGCAAAAGGAAGGATGGCTCAAAAGGCAGAACCAGGATTCTACAAGATGAGGCCAAGAGCCATGGAGAACAACTCACCAGGAGTATTGGCTGAGCCCTAAGCAGAGAAAAGGTACCATGTGTCAGACCAGATTTCAGAATTCCATGGACCAGTAACTGCTTTGTGCCTCCCGTCTTCTCTCTGAATGCAAGTATCTGTTGGCTTATCCTTTGATGGTCTTAGTATTCAATGTTGGAAGTGTGCTGATAGACGGTTTGTTTACTTAGTTCACATACTTTTTGACCTAAAAGAATATATCCAAGGAATTACACCTGAGGAGCCTTATCCATACCGGAATGGATTTAGATGACAAGATCCTAGATCTTAAGCCTGTGCCTGATGCTGTAATGAAATTATATTTTTAGGGAAGTTCTTGGGAGGGAATGTGTTTATTTTGCATATATAATAGTATAACTCACCTGGGACCAGAAAGTGGATTGTGTCAGGTTTTAAAATTGCTTACAAATTCTTTAAAACTCTCTTCATTAAGAGGTGAAGTCTATGTTCCCTCTCATCAAATCTGAGTGGGCTTTGAGTGTTTCCACCAACAGAATATGTGACTCCAGGGATGGTTCATAAAAAAATATATAGCTTCTCCCTTGTTTCCTGGAATGCTTGCTCTTGAAACACTAAGATTCCATGAAAGGAGTCTGACTGGTTTAAGAACACCACAATGTGAGGAATCCAAGCTGTGGAGAGGACATGTGCAGGCACTCTGGTCAGAAGTCCTAGTCTTGAGTGTCCTCAGCCTAAGCTCCAGATAGTGAGTAACAAGGCTTTAGGTGATTCTAGGTTCTGGCTATTGAAGTTACCCCAGTCTATGAGTCTTTCCCCCCGATGTCCCAGATATTGTGGTGCAGAGACAAACCATCTTCTCTGTGTGTTTGAATTCCTGACCCACAGAATCTAGGATAATAATAAGACTGTTGTTCTAAGCAACTAAATTGTGGTTGTTATATAGTCATAATAACTGGGACTAAGCTATGAAAAACCACAACAGTGAAATTGTGAATGAAATGTACATGGAAGCCAATGTCTAGCTTTGAGGGCAATCAACAGTCAGTACGTTTATGATTACTTTAGAATCTTGTGTGAATCAGATAAAAGATGTAAATACCCCTAGCACAATGCCTAGCAATAAAGAACAAGGATTTATTATTATGCCAAAAGAAATATATGTATATATTTATTTCCAAATGGTTATTATCAGTGACCTACAAGTATTAATATTCTGGCCCAATACTCCAAAGCTTTACATGTATATCTCTCTGAGTTACAGATGAATAAAGATATGGTTTTACTGTTCACACAAATCTGGGCAGAGCTAGAATTCAAACCCAGATCTTTTTAACTTAAAAACTCTTACTTTTCATCATTATATTCTTCTCCCTCCAGACATTTTCATATTTAGAGGAAATATTCAGAAACTACAATTGTGAAAAGTTGGCCCCAAAGAGAAGAGCTTCAAGAATGAAAACTTAACCTTGCATTTGGAAAAGAGAGAACAAGAATGATTTAATGATCAGGAATACGATGGGCTGTATTTTCTAAGAATATATATACACATATATGCCCTTAATTCATTAAAAATTAGAGTTTAGAAATGTAGGTGAGCTGTTAATAAAGCACGTCATTTTGGTGAGGATTAATTCTTCATCTTTACTTCATGATTTAAAAGAAGAAGATAAATACTGATTTTAATTGGAACAACTGTACATACAGATATCAATGATACATAGGTTCAAGACTAAATGGTTATTAAGTCCCCTTTGATTCTACCAGAGACGGTAACAGTAGCTCCCACCTATGCAGCATTGATTATTTCACAGATATCAGCAAAGGACTCTTTGGGTGTCTTTGTTAAGGCCTGAAACAGGCCTCTAAAGTAGGTACCACTTTACCATGACTTCTTCTACAGGTGAGAAAGCTAGTGCTCTACTCAAAGTAGTGAACTCAGTTTCCCAAGGTCACCCAGCTAGGAAACAGTGGAATTATTGGGATTATATGATGGTTCATTTCTTCATCTTTATAAAGTACTGTAAAGGAAACAAAATAAAATCAAATGTGGAGATTGTATACTGATATGGCCAATCACAGGCAAAGTAAAACTGTAGTACTCTCAGTTGGTTTTTATTGTATGTATGTAAGTCTTTTTTGAATTACAACTATTGATCTCCTTTGAGAATATTAATTATTATTATAACTATATAATTCTAATATCCATCCAATGCATAAATTTTCTACATTTATAGGTGGGCAATTTAAAAATATATACATGAAAAACATACAATGCTTACAAACCAAATGCAAATAAAAATCTCTTAAAAATCTTAGAAATTCATTAAGCAGGTTATGTTGATCCTATTAAAAATGCTTTGTCTATGTACAATACATAATCTTTAAAAATACTACTCCAGGAAACAAAAATTCTTTGGTTCAGCAAAAGGATTCTCTAAATGTGGAAATTCAGTTTGTTAAGGATGCACCTTCTTGGGTTGGGCCTCACTTAACTGGTTTGACTTTTCAGGAAGCATATAGCTGACTCTTTCTGAATGCTGAAAATATGGGTGGAGAGTGGGCAGAGGTTGCTTTTCCCATAGAACATTAGCATGTGAAAATATAACCAGAAGCTTGAATAATGCAGGAACTTAGATGTTATTTTTACTCTGCCAGATCAAAAAGATACAGAGAAAGTCTGCTTCCCATCCATTTGGTAGGATTTTGGTTGATACATAAAAACATTCTCTAGTAAACTTCTTAGGCACTGGCATCCAATGCCATTGAAACTAGTCTATTCATCATCTGGAAGGTTGTGAGAAGACAGAAGGGCACATCCTGGATGTCCCTTTTACTTAAGTCCTATGACTTCTCGAGGTGCTTGCCTACCTCAAAAATCTAAAATTATAAACACATCCATGACTCAAATCTCCTTAAAAAGTTATTGATGCAACAGTGATTACAGTGCATCAACATTAGTCAATGGGACTTTCATTAAAAATTAACTGTGGTTATTCTATACTCTTGATTGATTAACAGCAACATTCATAGAACTGGCCAAAATATCTCAGGGTTTCAGAGTCAGCAACCTGACCCATTAGAAATTATTCTCCTCCATATTTAATGAGAAGAAAAAGCCTTCACGATTTTGTGTCTGTGCGTTTTCTACTTTGATTGGGAAAATATTTAGCATATAAGATAAAACCTTTCCAAAGGCCCATCACCTGATCACACATTATAACTACTTTTAACAAGGCTTTTGAAAAGTCTCTGAGGTATCACAGCTGGTCACAGGAGAATGAAAAATATTTTTTGCTTTATTTTTTCCAAGTTCCCCAATGGAATATAATTACTGGCTGGATGAATTAACTCATTTATGTTAGGAAGTGGTACCACTAATACTTAAACTTGCCTTTCCCAGACCAGCACCAGAAACATGTTAACATGTTTTTAGGTGGAATGCAGATGAAAATCAAGAGCTTGTATGGACTACAAAGATTTCTGCAAACCACGACTTTGAGATGCCGTAATGCTTACATGGAATTGCTGTCACAGGGGAAGCCTTCTAAAGCTCACCCCTTTTCTTCCTTCCATTTGCGTGACTTAGTTGCTCAAAGGCAAGACACTTTTTAAACCTTATTAGGATTCAAAGGAGACAAGTATGATTGGGATGGAGCAACAGATTGCAGAGAAAATGGTGCCCCATCAGCACAACTGGTTCAGACTATGGAGAGGGGAATAGGATAGCCTTCAGCATTTGAGAAAAGCGAAGAACAGAATACATGAATAATTCACAGCATCTAAATGAGACATTATAATTCAGAACCACCTTCATAGCCACATCGTCCACCCAGCTCATGGCCAGGGATTCCTCTTCCCTAATGGTCTTCCAAAAGATATTATAATACTCCAAAGAGAGAAATGATCACTACTGGGTTATTGGTCCTTACACTCTTCTTCTGTATGTATCGGCAGTAATCATCTTTTCTTCTGTCAGAAGTCTTTATCCCAGCCTGACAGCTCATCTGGAGGCACACCCTTTTCAGGGGGATACTTGTCAAAGTAGCTGTGGTCTGTGGGTCCACTGAGCTAATAGAGGAAGAATTAAACCAAAGGTAAGGAGAACGTTGACTGAGCAAGCTATTATATACAGGTAATGCTTCTTATATTTGAACAACGATTTTATACTGCAACCACTGGTAAGTTACATGTAAGGAAAAGACCATTTATCATTAAAAATTTTTTTTTACATTTATTTATTTTTGATAGACAGAGAGAGACAGAGCGCAAGTGGGGGAGGCACAGAGAGAGAAGGAGACACAGAATCCAAAGCAGGCTCCAGGCTCTGAGCTGTCAGCACAGAGCCCGATGCGGGGCTCAAACCCATGAACCGCGAGACCGTGACCTGAGCCGAAGTTGGACGCTCACCCAACTGAGCCACCCAGGCGCCCCTCCCAATTATCGTTTTTGAGCCTCAATGGATCTGGTCACTGCATTACATTCAATAGAAGCTTCCTGGCCTGAGGAGGTACATCCAAAAGAAAAAGTGGTAGAAATTATATCTTTTTTTTTTTTCAGATTGAAAAACATTTTAACAGCAAATATTTAAAAAAAATCAAAATTTGCCACTTTTAAATACTTTTTCCACTTTATAAAAGTGGATTTTTATACGGTTAATTGACCCATATAAAGTTTCCAGAATGCCAAAGGGTCAATTTAAAATATGACTGACCCTGTTCAAAGAGTGAAATGATTCTGGAATTAACCTATTTTGCAAATCAGATGGTTTTCAATTATTTGCTTGCAAACAAAATTTAAAAGTACACAACTGGACTCTCAGCTGATAAATCAGAACAAATACTACTTATGGAAGGTCATAATGTGTTTTTAGAGGAGGTTGGAGATCACTCATAAGGTATTCAAAGCAACACTGCTAATATAAAACCTTCCATTCCCACTTACCTATGTGAACACAGCTCTTAGCATTTATATCCATATAATTTTAAATATTTTTTTGTATTTATTTATTTTTGAGAAAGAGATAAATAGAGAGAGAGAGAGAGTGCACAAGCAGGGGACGGGCAGAGAAGGAGACACAGAATCCAAAACAGGCTCCAGGCTCTGAGCTGTCAGCACAGAACCCCATGCAGGGCTTGAACTCATGAGCAGTGAGATCATGACCTGAGCCAAAGTCAGACGTTTAACCCACTGAGCCACCCAATATAATTTTAAAAAGGAATAGAATTGATGTGGACCCTGAACCCATTCCCATTCTTTTATTGTTATTGTTATCGTTATTATTATTATTTAATTTCAGAGAGAGAGACACAGCATGAGTGGGAGAGAGGGGCAGAGAGAGAGAGAGAATCTTGAGCCCAGTGAGCCCGATCCCATGACTCGGGCAAAATCAAGAGTTGGACGCTCAACCTACTGAACCATGCAGGCACCCCCTGATCCCATTTTTTTAATAAGTGACATTTCTTTCTTTTCAGGAAATATTTGTTAAATACTTACTTTAAAATTTTATAACATATTTCTGTTGATTGATACTCAATGCTATAAAAATGTAATTATAACTGAATCCAGAAGAAATATTTATGTTGTCACAGAAATTTCTGTTTTTTCACAGGGATTTTAAAATTTAGAAAACTATAGTTCAAAGGCATTTAAAGAATACTCAAATACTGGCAAGCATAGGAATACTTTTACATAAATAATTTTTTTAGGGAAAATAGGATGGGAATATAAAAATATAAATTCAGGGAGAAAAAAGAATTATGTAATATTGCTGTCAGTATTTTTTATTTTTTAAGTATATTTTTTTACTTTGAGAGACAGAGACAGAGAGAGAGAGAGAGAGAGAGAGAGAGAAAAAGAGCATAAGGTGGGGTGGGGGGGAGAGGGGAAGAAATAGAGAATCCCAAGCTGGTTCTGAGCTGTCAGCGCAGAGCCCAAGGCGGGGCTCCATCTCAGGAACCATAAGATCATGACCTCAGCCAAAATCAAGAGTCAGATGTTTAACCCACTGAGCCACCCAGGCGCCCCGCTGTCTGTATTTTTTAAGTGGCTGATGGGCATCAAATCTCACTGGTATTTAGATCACATTGCATATATTTAAAGGAGGAATGTTTTACTTCAAAATGTCAATATTTACAACAAACTAGAAATCAGAAATCACATCCTTCACAATAATTTAAGCATGTGATGAAAACACTGAGATGTCAATCTAAAAATGTACGAGGGAGTCACAGATCTTTAAAATTCCAGTAACGAGAACACCGCATAGAGTCTGTAGGGTGTCGACCTAGATCATTCCTGAGTCATTCTTCCCTTTGCAAGTTAGCAGATGATCTGCTTTCTCTAGAGCTGGGCTGTCCAACCAGCAACAGGTGGTGACTGAGCACGTGGAAGGTGGCTAGTTCAAAGTGAGATTGCTGTTAACTGTAAAATCCACTTGGGATTTCAAAAACAGTATGGAAAAATGAACGTGACATCTCATTAAAATTTTATATCGATGACACATCAAAACGGCAAGTTTTTAATACGCTGTAGTGATTAAAATTAATTTCACCCGTTTCATTTTCCTATGGCTAACTAGAAAATTTTAAATAATACGTATGATTCATATTATATACTTCTAGAGCCCTTTGTCAGTCTGACCAACACCAACGACATGGGGACTTAGATTTATATGTAACTGGTTCCTGAGAATTGAGCTAATCGCCATCAAATAAGAAATGCTATTTAGTCCCTATAATCACAACTGCTGTGACATTTTCACTGACTTTTAAAAACCGATTAAAAAATCTAAACTGTGGCGCACACAAAGACACCCATATTCTGCTTATAAAAACAGAAACTAGAACAAATGGAGTAGAGTAGATACCATACCTCTCTTTGTAAAGGTGATGGAAGGTTCCGTGCTTTCAGTCCCTCCCAATTAAAACCATTTAACCACCTGAGAAGTAAAAACAGTACAGAGGAATATTACTCGCCAGATCAACTCTTAGCACATCAAGGTGTCTGTCAGTCCATTCTGTTGCCCTCTCCCCACCCACGACAGTGCAGCTGCAAGTGGCCGGTGGAAAAATGCATGTCTGTCTGGTAGTCTGCTGTCACATTAAATCCATGCCCACTAACCTCAAGGGGGCAGTTAATGCTGCCCAGCAATTGGTCTAGATTTCCCTGTTGTCCCACCCATTGTCACACTCCCCTAGACTCATAATTCATACTTGGTCCTCCCTCCTCAAACTTCCAGAAACCTTCCCCACCTCCATCCTCACTCCCAAATGGTGACCTGGCTTCCTGTTTCACTGAAAAAAACTGAGTTGCCACAATCCCCTACCAGCATAACTGCCTGCCTGTCCACATCCGCGTGCTTGCATCCCTGGTGCACCAGGGTTAACTCAGTAAGCTCAGCTCAGCTCCTCCACCGGGTACTTGATCCTGGAGACGTCTCTATTCAGAGGCATGTATCTGCCATTGTCCTCTCTCTTGAATCTTTAATGTCTACCTGCTAGATCATTCCCATCAGTATGGGGACATTTTATTTCTCCCAACGACAAAAACACCTTCCCTTTGTTTTAAAATTTTATTTATTTATTTTGAGACGGGGGAGGGGGCAGAGAGAGAGACAGAGAGAGAGAGAGAGAAAGAGAGAGAGAGAGAGTCCCAAGCAGGCTCCACACTGTCAGCATAGAGCCCAACGTGGGGCTCAAACTCACGAATCCTGAAATAATGACCTGAGCCAATATCAAGAGCCAGACGCTTAACCAACTGAGCCACACAGGCACCCCCATAATGCCCTCCCTTGACCTGAGTGCCCATCCAACTTTCACTTTATTTTTCTCCCCCGACCACAGGAAAACTCCTTGGAAGAATGATCTAATCCCTCTACTTACCAATTTTCTCCTGACTGCACCTGTATTTCTCCTGAATGCAATCAGCATTCACCCCCTTCACTCCTGTGAACTCTTCAATTCTCAGTTTTTCTTACTTAACCTATGAGCATTTGCCATGGTTCATCACTCAGGCTTCCTGAAATACTGTTTTCACTTGGCTTCCAAGACATGTTATTCTCCTACCTTTTTGGGTGCTGTCCCTCCTTTCCCACTGCTATTTCCATAGGAAATCGGTATGCTCCAGGGCTCAGTCCTTGAACCTTCTTTTTTCAACTACCCTCATTTCCTGGGTAAACTCATTCAGTCTTATGGCTTTGGATAGCATTTTACACTGGTTAACCATTTCTATTTCCAATCAAGAGCTCTCCATTGCTTCCCAGGCTAATAGCTACAGCTGCTATTCCCCATCTCCTAAGTAGGTGTCTAACCTGCATCTAGCATGTAGCAGGCCCACACTGGAGGTCCAAATGTTCTCCCAACGAGCTGGCCTCAACTCTTCCAGTTGTTCCAACCAAAGACCTTGGAGTTATCCTTTCTCTCATCTCTACCTCAGTCCAAATGCAAATCTTGTCAGTGTTACCTTCAAAATCTATCTGAATTCAGAATGTGAAAAATTCTCATCACCTTCACTCTACCAGCATGGGCCAAGCCACTACTATTCTTCACCTGTATTATTGCAATAACTTCCCAAGAGGTCTTCCTGCTTTTGTCCACAGGATATCACTGAGCAGCAAGTGTGATCATTTAAAACATAAGTCAGATCACGTCAGACCTTTGTTCAACTCCCCCCCCATGCTTCCCATTTTGCTCAGTGTGAAAGGCCAAGACTTCAGTGTAACCCCTAAGGCCTTGCACACCACCCTTTCCACCACCACCCCATACCCCACCTCACCACCATCCTACTTTCCTTCCTCTCTTCTTCCTCGTTCTTCCAACAAGGCAGAGATGCTCCCACTTGCAGACCTTTGCACTCAAAGCTAGATGGTTCTCTCCCCAGATTTGCATGTGGTTTGTTCCCTCAATACTGTCAGGTCTTTTCTCAAAGATCATTTTCTCAGTGAGGACTTCTTTGACCATCCAATGTAACATCTCACCTCCAAACCTCCCCACCCCACTTCTTATCCTCCTTTCTGCTTTAGTTCTCTGCTATCTGATGTATCTGCCATATACTTTACTTAGTTATCCTGTTCATCCTATCTTCCCCACTAGAATGCTAGCTCCATGAGGACAAGAATTTTCATCTGTTTGCTTTCCTTCTGTGTCCCTGACACTAGGAGCAAGACTAGTCATCAAACCAGGCTCAATAAATGTTTGTTGAATAACTGAATGACTCTTCAAGAGAAGACACTTACGCATAACCTCTTCCTATCATGTCTTAGAATATAATTCCACCTTGGTGGTGCTCTTAGTGATTTGTATACAAAAAGCTCCAAGATAAAAAGGTTTTTTACAATAATCTGTAATGAGGTTAAGCTGATAGCCAGATGAAGTTTCTTTTTATTTATTGCTTCCACATCATTAATCTAAAAATAAAATTATCTGGGGGTGCCTGGGTGGCTCAGTCAGTTAAGTGTACAACTTTGGCTCAGGTCATGATCTCATGGTTCATGAGTTCGAGCCCTGCATCAGGCTCTGTGCTGTCAGCCTCCCTCTCCAGATCCACTGCCTCCCTCTCACTCTTCCCCTCCCCTGCTTTTGCTCTCTCCCAATCTCTCTCTCTCAAAAGTAAATAAAAACATTTAAAAAAAAAAAAAAGAAGAAAATCAATCAATCAATCAATCAATAAATGTAATGATCTGGTCTTTAGGACACATATCAAACTTGGTGGGTTGGAAACGCAACAGTAGAAGTAAGGAGGCCTTGCTTCTCTTGGATGTAAATAATGTATCCTGTCTCTCGGAATCTTATAAGGAACATGTAATAATACTCTTCTATACCCACTGATCTTTTCTATTGAAAAGCTCGCCAGCACAATTTTTGGAAAGTCAGTTTGGTCCCAGGCATCAAAAACAAACAAACAAACAAACAAACAAACAAAGGTCCTGCTTTTAGGATATTTATATTTTGGTAGGAGTTTACAAGGAAATAAACAAAACAAATAAACAATACTAATACTTAATTTCAGATACTAGTAAGGACTAAGAAGATAAAAGGGAATAATGTGGTGGCGGGTGACTGAGATTGGATGTTAGGACCGGCTGGAATGAAGAGAGGGGAGATCCATGGGAAAACTCGTGGCAAGGCCCTAAATGAAAGGAAGTGATGTAAATGAGCTGAGGGGTGGTGAATGGAGAGGAAACTAGAACAAAAAATAAGGTATCTGAGAACTGGCCAGAGGCCAGGCCACGTAAGCCTTGTAGAACATAGTATGGAATCAGGATTTTATGCTTAATGGGAAGCCATTAGAAAGTTCTAAGCAAGGGGCACCTGGATGGCTCAGTCAGTGAAGCGTCCGACTCTTGATCTTGGCTCAGGTCATGATCTCACGGTTTGTGAGTTTCGGCCCTGCATCAGGCCCCATGCACCGACAGTACAGAGCCTGCCTGGGATTCTCTCTCTACCTCTCTCTCTGCTCCCGATCCCCACTTGCTTTCTCTCTCAGAATAAATTAAAAAAGCAAACTTAATAAAATGTGTCAAATCGAAGTAGGAAGAGGAAAAAAGTCACTCTCAGTGACATCACACTGTCAGTGAGAAGCCTGCTTGGGATTCTCTTGCTCCTTTACTCTATGTCACTCCCCCGCTCGTGCCTCTCTCTCTCTCTCTCTCTCTCTCTCTCTCTCTCTCTCAGAATAAATAAACTTAAAAAAAAGATTTTAAAAAGGAAGAAGAAAAAAAAGAAAGTTCTAAGGAAATGACGGAATCTAAGCACACTTCCAAAGGATAATTCTGGCTGTTGTGTGGAGCATGACCACAGGGGGCCGTGATGCGGCAGGGCCTTGGTAGAGATGTGAGGCTGAAGGCTGGGTGATTTTGGGAGGCTGTCCCACTCCTGTCTGTGAGCCACACCAGAAGTTATGTTGTTCCATCTTTTTTTTTTTTTTTTAATGTTCATTTATTTATTTTTGAGTGAGAGAGAATGTGAACTGGGGAGGGGCAGAGACGGAGGGAGACAGAGAATCCCAAGCAGGCTTCACTGACAGCACAGAGCCTGACACGGGGCTAGAACTCACAAATGGTGAGATCATGACCTGAGCCAAAATCAAGAGTGGGATGTTTAACTGACTAAGCCACCCAGGCTCCCTATGCTCTTCCATCTTTTCTAATCTCTTCCCACCCCTGGAGTTGGTCTTCATTCAGTCTCTGGCTTCCCCATTCCAAGTCTAAGCTTAGCAAGACAAAAAGTACTATAAACAGAGGGAAGGCTCCAGTACATTCCATTTCAGATGCCATTCTTAACCCAAAGGGCCATTTTAGTGAAAGCTGTTGAGACACTAATCAAAGAGTGAAAGTCAGACAGCAGCCCCAACTGTATGGCTTCCTTTGTTCTTGCTACAAAACCACAGAAGTCCTCTCCCTGATCCACCCATCAGCTTCTTTGCATAGACTGAGGCTCCATTTTTAGGGATTTCTAGGTGCACAGTTATGTGGATTCTTTTCTTTTGCCACCAGATATTGCCACAATTTCTTTTAACATATTTTACAGTGCTCTCTACCCAGAAGCTACTCCATAAATATTAATAAAAATCACTGCTGTTACTCTACCGAATCAAAGAGCCTATACATTTTTCGCTGAGTACTTGTTACAATTTGACTTATGGCAATATTTACTTAACATGAGTGGCCATTCACTTAACACTTGGCCTTTTGACACCAACCACATTTTAAGTAATGCCAGTGCCAGCATGCATTCATGTGGGAAAAATATTCACCAAAAAAATATTAGCAGCAATGGCACATAAATTGCTTCTTCATTTTTAGAAGCCCCATAGAAGCTATTCTTTGAAAGTAATTTTAGTGGCTAGACCTATTAATGGCAACATTAAAATACCTGAAACAAATTATTCCCCTATCTAGCAGGAAAGATTTAATTGCACCCTACAAATATATTATCCCTCTTTTCAGATAGGTGTTGGGAGACGTGATCGGTGCCTAGTTTATAGGTTAGCTCAGAAATAGGGGAGGGAGGCGTTCTGATTATTTTTAGTTCAGGTGACTTAACTCAGAATGGACAACCAACAACAGGCCATGTTAAACTGTATTGTTTTTAAATACAAACTTAAAATGAATGGTTCTCTAAGAAAAAAGCATATGTTTTACTTTAGAGAAGAGTGGGAAAATCTGATGGCAAATTTCAGAAAGATATTCTTTTTAAGTCCAAGAATATACTGAGCAGGGAAGCTCTAAGCCTTGGAGACATGTGGAAGGTTTTAGAACCCTCCTACTTGAAGGCAGGGAGAGATCTCTTTTTCAGGTCCCCCCTGCCTCAGCTTTGTATCATAAGAAGCACTACAAAAATCAGATGAAATGATGTCTTTGAGCTCCTGGGGCTCACTGAACGACACTGTGTAAATTTGGTACATCTCATTACTGACCTCTATCTCATGTGCGGCACTCTGTACCCTAATGCGGCAAAGAACATCCTGCCTGTTAAGAAGAGTGGGTAAATTAATCCCCACAGGGAAGGAAATTCAAAATTCTTCATTACCACGCTGACGTGAGAAAAGCCTTTAGTATCAATTTGTATGTGCATCCAATCACAATTTGACAGCCACATTTAAATGAGCCTCAGGTAAATAAGAAATAAAAGATAAAACCAGAGCCTGTTAACCCAACCATCCCAGAGCAAAACTGAAGACGCTTCTTTAATGAGAGAAAGGAGGACAATAATATTGGAAGAATGACTTTAACTGACAGTACACTTGTTTGCCTAATATGAAGAGCGGGCTTATGTGTCATTTTATAATGAGAACAGAAATTGTGATAACAGCATGGAGAAAGAAAGATAAATTGGAATCTAAGACAAATAAGGAGCTTGACACTGAGGGCAATCCAAAGGATCACAAAAAACAATAAAATACCAAAAGCATTTTGATGTCTCTAAATGCGTAGAGGAGTCTGTATCATCCTCCCTCCCTCCTAACACACCCTTAAGGCAAGGCCCAATATGAATTTACAATGTTGAATACATGGCTTTATTTCAAGTAAGTTCATGAATAGATGGAGCAGGGCTGGCAGCAGGGGATTTTTTTTTTTTTTTTTTGAAGCTGCACCACTACTGTTAAAGCAAAATGAATAGTGTTTCTATTCAGAAGCTTCTCTCCCTTTATTTCCATGCTGCATTTATATGCCTCTGCTTCTTCAGTACAAAAAAAAAAAAAAAAAAAAAAAAAAAAAATCCAGATAGGAATGAAATACTGAGAGGTGTTTTCATTTCTGAACAGAAAACACTTTAGCGAGTTCACATGTTTTCAATGATGAAATTCTCAAATTTAGTTTTTCTTTTATCAATAGTACTATCAACAGGCGACATTTTATATCTGTATACCATGAGGAAAATTAAAACATCTTGAGGACTGCAGGATTTAGCTAGGCATCAATTTAAAAAAAAATCTGGGGGCACATGGGTGGCTCAGTCAGTTGAGTGTTTGACTCTTGATTTCAGTTCAGGTTATGATCCCAGAGTCATGGAATTGAGCCCCAAATGGGGCTCCACACTAAGCACAGAGACTGCTTAAGATTCTCTCTCTCTCTCTCTCTCTCTCTCTCTTTCTCTCTCTCTCTCTCTTTCTCTCTCTCTCTGTCTCCCTCTGCCCTCTCCCCTGCTTGCGTTCTCTCTAAAAAAAAAAAAAAAAATCTGAAAGGCTTTAACTCCTCATATGCAACCACATCAAAGAGGATAACTCATGCAAGTCACCAATGGTTCTAAAGACCAGCTTTAGAAATCCACAGAGCCAAAGAGATGCATATTAGATTATTGTATAAGGCTAAAACACTGTTTGAGGTTTTGTGGAAATCAATGTACTTTACCCCAAAAGTGAAATACAACACTAGGCTTCAAAATTTGGAGAGCTAGTCAGAGGAAAATTATATTTAAAATAAATACATATTATTACTAAAACTAAAAAAGAACACTATTTAACAGTTGATTTCTCTTTAATATTGACAACAGAGACTATATTGTACTTTACTCATAAATCAAAGGTCAAAATTAAAAATTAATTCGTCTATAGAATCCAAGTTGATATTAAAAAAAAATAAGAATAGCAGTGTATAAAAAGCTAAGTCACTATAACTTAAAGACGTGATTTTGTCACTTGTTTTAGAACTTCATCCATTCTTGATGTGAATTTCCAACAGTAAAGAAATGAGACTGATTATTGTAACTGCACCTAGTAAAACACAAATTAAAAAGAAAACCACCAAAAAGGAAAAACTGAGCATCCGTAAGGGGACCCTTGTGACCTACTGAGAGAAGCTTCATTTTTTTTCTATAAATTTCTTTTTTTTTTTTCTGGCAGAGAATCAGCTATGTACCTGTGTCTCTTAATGTCATTGATTCCATTCTTCAGATTTCCAAGTCTCTCCGTTGGATTTTGCCTAAAAAAAAAAAAAAAATGTTTTTTGAAAAGGCAATTTATAGTAATTATGCCTCAGTGAATTTTAAATTAAAATTTAACATTTTATATATATATATTTGTTCATTCATTATTCAACAATATCCACAGACCAGGCAGCTGAGTAAAGGGAGATGAAAACCACACGCCCCTTTCTGGCATGTGTGTATGTATATAGACGTACATACCCCAGTGCTTTAAATGAGCTATGAATAAATGCTTAAAAGAACAGGAGGATGCTATCTTACCAACTTTGCTAAGAAACCAGAGAAAGCTTTCGTGAATCATTTACATCTGAGCTGGAATCTTAGAAACATGCAGAAATTTGTCGGCAGCCCACAGTTAGGTTTCACATCCTAAATTTACTCAATGGTAATGATTTAAAAAAAAAAAGTTCAAATATGAAAAAAAAAGAAAACAGTGACAAAATAAAGTTAAAACACAAAGTCCAGAAGTCTTCTGTTCTCCAATAAATTATTTTTAAGGGTAAACAGAAATTTAGAATAATTTAAAATAAGGCTAGAGAAGTACTGTTTTTTAAAATGAAGGCTGAGGGGCGCCTGGGTGGCGCAGTCGGTTGAGCGTCCGACTTCAGCCAGGTCACGATCTCGCGGTCTGTGAGTTCGAGCCCCGCATCGGGCTCTGGGCTGATGGCTCAGAGCCTGGAGCCTGTTTCCGATTCTGTGTCTCCCTCTCTCTCTGCCCCTCCCCCGTTCATGCTCTGTCTCTCTCTGTCCCAAAAATAAAATAAACGTTGAAAAAAAAAAATTTAAAAAAAATAAAATGAAGGCTGAGAGGGCTTTTAGGAACATTTGATCATCACCACTGATTTTCTCTCAAAATAACAAGGTGGTAAGTTGATAATCCTTCATTAAACTTAGGTTCATTTTGCCCTCTAACAGATAAAGGCGATTCTCAAAGATGAGCTGAAAAATGTGGATCTCTTTTAAACTGGAAGTAGGTACTATGATTCTGAAACATGAAGTAAACTCAAATTCCCAGTACAAAACAGAAAATGACTTTCTTTAAATATGATTTAGCTACATAGAAAAGTACAAAAAGTAAACCTATACCTAATTTTAAAATGCATGGAAACAGAAATGAGAACACTTCACACATTCCCCAGGAACTAGGGCTTTTAATTTTCATTCTCACCTGCAAAGCCTGCGAATCAAATCCTCAGGCCTTCTTGTTATCTTTCTGGGAAAATCCATTTTTTCAATTCCTTTGAGAATCAAATTGTAGGTCATCATTTGGTCAATCCCGGAAAAGGGAGGGCTGAAGAAAAGCCAAAACACGACACTAGGACCAACTTCTCAGATCCATTTACAACTGAGTTTCTTTTCTTTTCCTCCCTTCCACCCTCCCCCATTCTTCCTCCTTTGACATTGAATAAAAAGTGTATGCATATATGCAGGAAAATAGTTTCATTAGTTTCACATCACTTAACAAATTACACACATACACAAGAGGTAATTTGTCAGGTGGTGATGATAATCACTAAAAAGAAAAATAAAGGAGGAGACAGAGTGACAGAGAGAGGTGTGATTTTCTTAGACCCAGTGGATAGGAAAAGCCTCTTTCATAAGTTGACAATTGAGCGGCGGTATCAGTGGAGAGAGGGAGGAATGAGCCACACTTGTTATCTGCAGGCAAAAGACTGCAGGATAACAGGTACAAAGGCCGTGAGTTAGGCGGGACCTGGGATGTTCTGGGAACAGTGAGG